GGGGGGGAGAGATATTTTAATAAGCTCTTTTTGCTTTGGTTTATTCTGCAATCTATTTCGGACAAGAAAAATATGCAGAGTGACTGAACACTTTTTACAAATCTCTTGATATCCAGAAAGTTCTGTTTTTGAATACTTCAGGGAGTTCTTGTGGGCAATCTTTTTCAGTTATCTTTCGTTTATTCTGTGCGTGTATTGAACGTTAAAAAATAAACTGTGTTTGTGAGTTGTATCAAGTTTCACGACCTGATCTTGACCTATCAGGAATTTTATCCTGACTTTGTAATGAAATCAGGTCTTGAGAGTATTTAGAATGCGGGAAGTTCTTTTTTAGCATTTGTATAAAAGTTTTAACCCAATTCTGTAACTAGATCTGAACAGTGAATGCCATGTATTTTGTCAGAATTGTTTATGTAGTTTATCCATGTTACAATGTACCTATAAAATATTCTTGACCTTATCCGTCCATAGACAGTATAATAGTTCAGGTCAGTTCCGCTCTGTTGTGGGAGAATTTGTAAAGAGAAGTTTTGCCTCTATTGATGCATTTTTGATTATATAATCAGAAGTAGGTATGCTGTTGGTAAAAAACACGCTATGCGAAAATTATAATGTCCATGTAAGAAAATATTCTAGACATTTGGATTTCTGAAGTTGGCTGGAATTTGCACTTTATACAAAAATAATCTTGATGCAAGATGTATTAAACAATATGATCTGTAAATTTTGAGTCCCTTGTGCACATTTTCAAAGGGTCAGAAAAGTTCAAAGGTTTTTTTTTTCATACTCTCCCATGCAGCTCAAGTTGGACCTGCGGGGGTGGGATCGGAGCAGCCTGCCTCGTAAATTGTGTCATAATTATCTCAATGGAGGCTAACACTTACAATGTTTTCAACAACTGGGAAAGTTCTGATCTTGTGATTGTTTATGATGTCTTCATGATGTTTTATTGCTATAAAAGTGTACCTTCCTTATGTCCTATAAATACTTTAGTTATGACATTTAACCCGCTGTGTTTTATTATTTTTTCCTAATGTGTTTACGTGTATTATTCAAGGTGTTGAACGAGGTGCCTTCACTTCTCAATACATGTAGTAAAACAGATCAAACTCGAGAAATGAGAGGATTTTAAAGCGTGTGGCCACCATTGGTATTTTAGCAGTCAATGCAAAGTTGCCTCATGGATTGAAAAAGCTTTCTTTGGGTGAGTTGTGATATTACCTGTCCTACCTGTTACAGAATACGAAAGAGAACGTCTTCGTGGTTGGATGGAGGTTGGTGGATCTGTTGTGTTGGCCAAGAACATCCCATAAATGTTCTGTACACGGCGCACCGGCAGTGGAATTTTAGTTGCCGCGGGGGGTTCCCCGCCCGGCGCCTTATCACGTCGGGGTCACGGGGGTCAGCTCCCTGTCGCCGCTCTGTCTGGGCCGACTTAATTTTTGGTACTTTTCAACGTACAATTTAAGGTGCATCCTTGCATTTATGGTAATTCTCATTTAGTGCACCCAAAGCACGCATTTCTGCTCTTGAGACTCAAAAAAGATCGGATGTTGTAACTTGTCTGGTTATTTCGTTAGACGCGCTGGAGTCGGCAATGCTAAATTGTAATTTTTTGGGGACTAGCGTGAATGAAAAAAAATCAATATATAAAAAAAGGCATCGTCAAAATCTGTCGAACTTTTGGAACATGAACGACATAACATTAGTGCAGATACTCAGAAAAGATGGTATCTGCGCTTATAATAGAAGGCTGTAATTTTGCAATTTTATCCATCGGGCACACAATTCGCTACGAAGTAATTCCTCCAAATACAACTTTATGTGTCTAATATAATCATGAATATTCGCATATATATTTTCTCGAAAGTTTATAAAAGTTATCATGAAGTTTCTCTATGAAAAGTACAAATCGATTTTAGTGGTAGAATACATCTTCAAAGTAGATCTAATACACGAACAGTATCTGTTACACTCCAGAAATTCCTTACTTTTCTTAAAACGCTAAGTCTAGGTTTTGTAAGTTGACTGAATAATAGGGATGACTTCTCGTAATTTGGTTATAAGAATAATTTCTAGCTTTCCAGGGACACTGAATCAGCACCAGACTTTTCCAGCTTCTTTTACGTTTCTATGACCATTTGCAATAACTGACAATGTGACTGATTTCTTTACATTCATAATTGTGTCCGCGCATATTTCCTACACAAAAACTAAGAATGAATGTTTTAGCTGTCATTATTTTTATTCCATACTAGAAGTTTATCTCTACCCATGTATTTACACGGTTTTGTGGTTTTTTAAATCGCTTATATTACATCTTTTTAGTTGTATTCAGGTTGCCACAGACACAGCATGATTCATGAACAAACGCAGAATAACTTTCTCTTGTTTAATAGTAAAATAAGAGCTAACGCTGATCGTCTTTAGTTAAAATATGCAGATGTGCATCTTTCTTCTCTTATAACTTGACTATTACTACTAGCGCAGATTTAAGATTTCTCATGGTAAAAGACATGATATTCGTAGTCAGTTTAACACAGATTTTGGAGAGATCTGTTGTGCCTTTTTAAAAATAACAATCATTTATTCATAAGTTTTTACTAAAATAGGACAAATTGGGTACTCTACAAACACTTGTCTAGAACAAAAACTAAGGCACAGAAACTAACCATTCTAACGCAGAATAAATCTCAAGACTTTGAGCTTTTAGTACATCCGCGTAATGGTTTGCTGTGTGGGATGGGGAAGAAGTTATATCGTTTTAAACATAGTCAAAAATGCGAACTTCCCGACCGACACCGGCAAAGTCGCCTCAGGGCTCATTAACCCCGTGACCCCGAGCCGGGGAGCTCCGGCGGGCTGCTGAGTCACGCGAACTAAAAGTAACAGAATCGGGCGAAAAGTGACGCCGTGTGTAGGACTATAATCGGATGAGCAAGCTGGCCAGTCCATCCTGTCCACTCGGGGATGCTGCAGAAAATTGTCTTCAACAAAAACACTAAGAGGTCGAGTTTAGCTTACTTTACTTATACTTTTTCCTTCCTCTGGTATCCTTAGGATGTCGAGGGGAGGTGCAGCTTTCTGTTCTGTGCCAGGTGTGGCGTCTCTGATTGTTATAGTATGTTGTTCCAGAACCTTTTTAACTTCATCCCCTGAGGTCTTTCTTGGTGTTCCTCTTGATTTGAAGCCTGATTCACTGGTGTGATAAGCTCTTGCTGCGGGTTGTTTGTAGGACATTCTAGTTGGACGTCCGAGTCATTTGATTCCTTGACGCTCTGTGAAATTCATAACTTGTTGTATTCTGGTTAGTAAGCGTATTCGTTCCTTATGCGGTCTGTTCTAGTGACAATGATAGTTTTGCAGAGACACGTTCGAATACATTGAACTTTTCTTTCTTGAGCTTTATTTAAGGACCATTTTTTAAGTTTTAGTAGAGTTTTTACTGCGTTAGCGATTGCATAAGGTCATATGAGCGCCAAGAGGCGGATGTCAACAGAAAAGTCCTTACAGGGAATCAGGCTTACTCTGCTCATCTCAACAGCGCAGAGTCTGCTTCGACTATCAAGGCACCCCCGAAATAGAGGGTCACAAGAGTGTGACAAACATACAAAGAAGTAGAGAAAAAATGACGATAGTAAGGATTAGGAAATAAAAAGCAGCAGTTTCCTGTTGCAGTTCAGGCTTAGTTATGAGCATGACATTGATGAATCAGCTCATTTACAATTCTTCTGTGCATAAGAACATGTTTATGTCCTCGCTTTGGGAATGGCCTAAAGACACTTCAGTCAGTAGTACCACCCCGGGAGGTAATTTAAGTACAATGTTTGGCTCTAGTATAATAGGGTTGGTATGAAGATACTATCGATAAGTTGGGCTTTCACTTTGATTGAGATGTTCTTGTGACTGAGCAGGGCTGCAAGTTGGTATGTCACTGCGTTTGCCTCCTTGGTTCTTGTTTCTATCTCTCTCTGTCCCTACACCCATCTTACTGGAAGATGTTTCCCACATATTTGAATCCCTCTACTTGTTGGAGCTATGTCCCATCAATGTTGAGTTTCCCTAAGGAATAGTGCCTAGTCCCACAGTAGGCAAGGCAATGGGTTGATGAATCTTCTCCCTGTAGCGAATTCTCGTTAGACTGACTTGAATACGATAGCCGCGTGTTCTATTGTTCAGACCTGTGCCACCCCACACCGAGATAGACCCCCCCCCCTCGCGCTTATATAGCGGTTATGCTTCTTCACAAAGGTGTCCTGAAAGTGTTCACTGAGGCGTCTCCATACACTAATCCTGCCGTTATTGAAAAACAGGATGAATCTGGACTCGTCTGTGAACAGCACACTTGACCATTGTTGATGTGTCCATCGTAGGTGGTAAATGCACCAGGTCCGTCGGGAATTTCCATGGGACTTTGGATCTGGGTCAGTTGTAGACGGAGAGCCAGTTGTCTTGAACCCATCCCCCCCCCCCCCCGGGGGGGGGGGGGGGGCTGTGCCACTGACTGAAGTGTCTTTAGGCCATTCCCAAAGGGGGGACATTTCTCGTTCTAATTAATCTAATGCACAGTATAATTGTAAATGGCCTGATTCATCAATGTCACGCTCATAACTGTGCCTGATCTACAACAGGGAACTGCTGCTTTTTCTTTCGTAATCCTTACTATTGTCATTTTTTCTCTACTGCTTTTGTATGTTTGTCACACTCTTGTGGCCCACTATTTCCGGGGTGTCTTGAATGATGGTCGAAGCAGACTTTGTGCTGTTGAAGCTAGAGAGGTGAGCAGAGTAAGTCTGATTCCCTGTAAGGACTTCTCTGTTGACAT